TGCAGTGGGCAAGGCACCACATACGAGCCTTTGAGGAGTGATGCCTGAGCACAGAGCCAGGAGTAAGCCCCGAGTACTGCGACGTGTGCCCCCAAACAAATGTAGAGTAACTTTCATTCACAGGAAGTCAATTTTCCACATTGTTGCACATGCATTCTACATCTTTAAGGTGAAATTTTAAACTAGAGAATAGTGCACTTACTATGGTCACCACAAAACTGTAAACATGTGAAAGAAGAACAAGGTTAACACTGATTGTCCTGAAAATGTTCTGGATGCCCAATTTTACTTGACTCTAACATTTTGAGGTTTTTTCCTCAATGAGATTGTAGGTGCCCTGTCAAAACTAGTGACTTCTTTTCCTTTCCTGCCATCCTCTCTACCCTCTTGACAATGATCCTGAAATAAGCGCTCTCTCTCCTCTCTCTCTCTCTCTCTCTCTCTCTCTCTCTCTCTCTCTCTCTCTCTCTCTCTCTCTCTCTCGACAACCCTGTTGCCAATCAGTCATCAACTACATCTTTGATCTGTGTATAAACAGAACCTGCCAAATTGAAACTACCCTGTTAGATTCTCACTTCTGTATGATGAAGTAACTTCTGTCAAGACCAGAAGTCCCCATTCAAACCATATCCTTCAAATACCATACTTTTCAATGAAACAAGCATCATATAATCACTGTCCTCAGACCATAAATATTTTTGTTTGCCTGCTCTGATAATCTTCCTGTCCCACTCGCATGCATTTTTAAGACAGAAATCATAGAAAACAAACAAACTTCTTCCTTTGCTTGTCCTTGTTTGTTTTTTTTCCAGTTGAAGACAGTGGCAGGCAAAGAGGGACATAGTCTGGAACACTAGAGCTGGTACCTGGAAAACCTCTAGGTGTAAGCTGAACTGGTGGGTCACATAAAACAGGTTTGTCCCATACAATTTTGGGGCACCACCTCTCCCAATCCCACTAAAAATAAAATAAATTATTGGGGAAATGATTTTCAAACTAAAGATGACACAAACACAAATAGGACACTATGCTCAGTTCATAAAGGACAACTTTGAAAGAAGCAACATAGCATAAATACATGTTATGAAACTACTTTTTGTGACATTCTTGAAAATCAACACATCTCTTTATAAAAGAAAGAAATCTATGCAGCCAGGAGATGTTTCAAAATATTCAGGACTTCCCCCTCAACAAGTATTTTATCAGGTATTGATGAAGAGAAGCAAATATATCCACCACAGAATCAATCATTTACTTAAATGGGCAGCATACACACAATAAGGTGTGCAAACAAATGAGGAGGGAGGTGTGCACATTAATTCCAAGATCTATAAGCAAAAACTATGATTTTTCTCAGAACAAGGTCTAATTACTAATAATTACCATTGAGTTATTTTCCCCTGTGTTCCCCAGGGTTAATGCAGCAAATACAGCTCCTATCACATACTAAATGAGAAAGACAAATTCAAAATCTTTGACATCTAAAATAGGATAGAAGAGCATTTTCAATCAATCAATTCGGTGGCAAGTGCCATAGCAAAAACTGTAAGCACGCATTTTTCAAAAAACATTCAGAGCGAAAGGACAAACAAAAGTCTATACATTAGCCAATTATCGCTCCCCCCCCATAAAAGAAGTGAAGTGTTTCCCATCTGTAAATTTTCTTTATATGGTATACTCTTACAACTTGATAAGTTATTTTCCTAAGTGGAGCAAACAATAATGAGAATAATGAAAGGGCTGTACAAACATTGGTATACAAGAAACTTAATTGCATTAAAAATATGAAAACCAGCCAATTCTAAATTAAAACTTGAGAGAGGACATTATTTCTCTAAGACAGAGACTGAATTTCCACATGTCCAATACCTCGCTGGACTAACATGGCCCCCAGAATGCTTTTCAGAATTCTCTTCAAACAGTAGTACCTCTAAGAATTTTTCTCCATCCTCTCCCAAAGTCCACAGTTCACTAAGTTGGAGTGACAAGAGCTCTAGGAGCACCAGGTTTAGCTTTCATAAAATATCATAAACTGCAGTGAAGCCATTGTGTGCTGTCCCTTGAATGGCATAAACACTGACTTGTGTATGCTGAATCAATACATTACATTTACCACTATATCCACCTGAATCAAGAAACATCACTGAGTAAACCCATATAATTAGGTATTTCTGAAAGCTCCGAAAAAACAAATTGGCTTTCCTATCTAGAGCACCAGTGTCTATGTCATTCCAAGACAGCTTCGATTTCTTTGACAGATAATTTTTAAAATCATGTGAATATCCCTGTAAACCTGCAGCTCTTTGTATGCATCACTGTCTGAAGTTAAATCATAAAGCAATGAGCTATGGATACCCTTCATAGGGCTTAGGAAAACAACTTCTAACTAAATTGACTCTCAATAGAATATATGAAATAGAACACAGCGTGGCATAAAAGAAAACAAAATGTAAGACTGCTTGGTAACATTTTAACTATAATAATGTGAGTGGCACTTGTTGGGGGAATACCATGTAGTTCCTTCCATCTTAGGAAGATTGTGCATGAGACAGAGTGTTTGCTTTGCTTGCAGCCTATCCCAGTTCAATCTCTTATACAGCATATTGATCCCCAAGCATCACAAGTAGTGATTCCTGAGCACAGCTGGGAGTAGCCTCCTTCCATCACAATCACTGTCACTGTCACTGTTCTCCCGTTGTTCATCTATTTTCTTGAGCAGGCCCAGTAACATTGTGAGACTTGTTGCTACTGTGATTGGCATATGGAATACATCACGGGTAGTTTGCCAGGCTTTGCCGTGTGGGCGAGATACTCTTGGTAGCTTGCCGGGCTCTCCGAGAAGGGCAGAGGAATTGAACTCGGGTTGGCCATGTTGGCTGTGTGCAAGGCAAATACCCTACCAGCTGTGCTGTCGCTCCAGCCCTCCATCACAATAAAAGATATAAATAAAGATAAAAAACAAGGTCTTATATCTTATCTTTTGTAAGAGGTCTTCTTTTTTTCACCTCTCTCATGAGGCAAGATGAAGGCCCGCACACCTGGCTTTGAGTGTGGGCACTGCTTCTGCAACTGGAGTTGGAGCTTCCTTTGTGATGGGAATTCACAAGAATACTTTTCTTCCCATCTCTCGGTGACTCCTGACATTGCCAATGATCTATGTACTCTGATAAATCTTGAACAGTCTCTGACTGTTTCTTCTTTGTGATTTCAGCTTACTCAATCCTGACTTCTTCCTTTGCTCTCTGTCTTTTAGCTTTCCATAACACATTCAGTTAGCCAACTTATTCGACATTGTAAACTGAGACTTTTAAGTAAGACTTACATGTCATCTATGTTGAGTAAAGTTCCTGCATAGTCTCCAAAAGGGAAAGCTACTAGGGCACCGACAGATGGTGGGTTCCTGCAATCAAGCCATTTATGACCAGAATCATAAGGTTATGTGTGAATGGACGTGGTGAACCTTGATCACAAAAGATAACTTGGGCCACATTCCCCTAAAGCACACTAGTAAGGTCAAGAATCAGAAACTAACCTAACCCATTTAAGGAGCAATTGCATCATTAAGTTTGGGTGGAAAAAGTTCATGAATTTTCCAAGTGAATAACAGGAATTCAGATTTAGGTCCATTTCTCTATTTCTATGTTCTTTTTTTAATGTCTGCTACTTTAAAAAAAGAAAGACAATAAATAAGAAAGGTGGCAATAATCAAAATGTCATGGTATAAATACAAAATCAGTAACTGAGCACTTTGTTTTCAAATTAACTTTTCACCCTTAAAATTCATTTTCTCATTCTATTTTTTACCAGAACTCTTCTGTTCCATAATACAAACATAATAGACAAAGGCCAGAGAATTTTGCTTAGAACTGCAGAAAGTAGTTGAAGTTTGAGCCTGGACCACGTCCAGTTTTCTGCCATCACAAAACTCTTATTCAATCCCTCTGTGTAGGAGAAGCAGATTACACAAAGGGAAGGAACAAAACTTTCCTTTTATCTGCATTTTACTGTATTATGTCTGAATGTTGAGAGTTATTTTGTTAGGTTTCTGGTGGTTACAAATGGCTCAATTGCCTAATAAAACAACAACAAAATTTTAAGTTAGAATTATAAAATCATAAGCCTTACATCTTCAAAGCTTAATATTTTAGTTGAGAAAAAAAATCCGTCTATGTTATTTCATTTCTCTATGGTTTAAGTTTCAAAGAATTGATTTGTAATCACAAAGGAACAAAATATTAGAAAGAAAAAAAAGCAAAAGTTTCAAATAATATTGTCATTTAATATGTATTAACATGATTATTAAAAGCATACAAAAATTAAATTCATTCTTTTGTAACAAAAAAAATTCAAGATTTGGAACACACATACACTGTATGTGTGTTGAATATGTGTGCTATGCATACATATCAATTTACAATTAGGAGTGATTAAGTACCATCAAAGAGGGACTTTTATAAAGAATATAGTGAGGCTAAGATCCAAATCTTGATAAATTTACATGATGGTAAAAATAAGGACTCACTTTTTCAATTATGGGGAAGTTAAGGGGGAAAAGCAATTATGTTCTATGATAAATGAGTCCTTCTTCACTGAGAAATCAGAGTATCTTCCTGTTTCATGGACTCAATTTGTGTGTGTGTTTTTTTCTTTGCTCCAAGCTATTTCTTTCATCTTGCAAATACAAGAAAATTAAAGTTGTACAATTGAGGACATATGAAAAATCTAATCTTGGAAAAAATGAACTACAATGATCTATTATTGTAGTACTATGATATAAAATCAAATAGAGAATTTGAAAAAAAAGCTTACTAATGTTATCAGTTAAAGTTAAACGTATTCCAGGAAAACACATTTGAAATGACTCAACAATGTCGGTGCACTGAAGGCCATATACCCCTCTGATGCCATCTGATGTGAGTTACTATGATCAACTTACTTCCCCCAGTAAAACAGTTAATCATATTCCAAGAAATCAAGGTGAGAACCAAGAAGTAGAACAATTTTGTTTTATCCTGCATTTATTTCAGCAAACCAAATGTGTAGAGATAAGAAAGTAAAGCATGATCATGTTTTACAAATACAGAAAAATGACACAGAATAATAATACCCTGAAGAGAGTGCATCTGAGAACACAGGTCTATCATAGGCAAACACTTGCAGTGACCACATTGAAGCCATGGCCAACGCATTCATCTGTCATTCTGGTTCTGATACCATTCAAGTAGTTTTAATAGTAAATTAGCAATTTGCTCTTCAACAAATACCAATACTAGAGATTATGGTAGCCTTGAAGGGTTGTGAGCGACTCTACTATACATAGATGGTGCTAGGCTTTAAAGTGTGATTCCAATGCCACTGCACACTATGCAGGGGGAGATAAGGTCTTATTATACATTTACTGTGACAGCCACTCAAATGGGAATTAGTTTGCATAGGTAGGTCCTTTGGGTAGCACAACGTTGCTCTCGTCCACCAAGGCTTAAAGATTCACAGTGTAGAGGAAAAGAACATGAATTAAAGCATTTCTACTAAAATAGATTTAATAGCTGGTGTTAACAATTTGCATAACAAAAGCCAAATTGTATTAATAACGTTTTTTCATTCAGTATGCCCCTGTGTTTTAGAAACATTGTCTCATTTAACAGTAACCTCTCAAAGTTAGTACAATCAGGTAAATTAGTCATCAATTATAATTTGACATATTTTAAAGCAAATAAAAGTTAAACAATACTATATTTCTATGTATTTTTTCAGGGGTCTCCTATAACAACAATTTCACATAATGCCTACAACCTACTTGGGGCTGCTACTAAATGCCCCCACATTCATTGTACAGAAACTGAAGAATGGAACTTGGATGCAGTTTTCTCTTTTCTTTTAAAATAAATCATTCTTAACAGAAACTTGATTACAAAGTATACACTATGCAAACTGGATACAAGATATCAAACACAAAAAGCGTATGGAGTTTCCATGAATATACTGAAGTAATAGGGACTATTGGGAAGGATATTTGCCCAGGAGACCTTTCCAGGCCTTTAAATTCCTGCAATGTAAGCATCAAGGAATGGATGCCACAAAAGCATCATCCAATATCTTGATTTTTGCATCATCAAGAGTTGACAATTCATTGTCTGGAAAGGACACTTATGGGCATGGAATACTTCAGAAAGAGACTTTCATCTTAGCATTCTTAGCTTAACTTACAGAACATCTAACTTAACTAAAGCTTCTTTACCCCAATGTCACATTATCCCAAATAATCACACTCTAGACACTTTTAGACTATCAGAGGCAAATCGCGAAAGTATAAGGAATTTATGAAGTGAATCTCACCTTGTAAAATGTATTTAGCCTCATAATATAACTCTTCTATCTTACAATAAGTATTTTAAATCCCAAACCTAAAGTTAATGTTTATGTATCTCAACTATCTATAAATCCACAAAGTTAGTACAATCAGGTAAATTAGTCATCTTCAGGGAAAAGAAAAAAGAAAAACAGAAGTGAGTTTTTTCTAAAGTCTGAAATCTAAATACAATCAGCTACCACATTTCATATGTGTCAGGAGCATCTTACTTCCCCACCACAAAAATACCAATCATGTATAATAAAATATTATTCTAGAATAGGCAAAAACTTGCTTGCTTGGTTTTCTTCCCAAGACCATAGTGGATTACAAGGATAATCAAAAAGGCACCTGTTTTTGTAAATACCTAAACTTTCAATTTGGTATAAACTATATCCACTTTATATAGAGATATGTTTGTAAAGATTCACACAATATGTTCTTTTGCTTTTCATTAAAAACATTCCATGCGAGATAGAGGAACCTGAAAAGAAAAGAGACCTCTTCGATTTCCGTGGCCTGTTTTACAGCAGTCTATTTTCTGAGCCCCAGAACGTTGTCAAGCTCATCAATGAGAGGACAAGGAAAGACTAGTAACAGGCAAAGCTGCATCTTCATGACTCTCAAGCATTGTACTTCGTGGAAGATGAGGGGTTGGGCCAAACTCATCTGTGTTCCTACAGTGTTACTGGAAATTGTGCTTGCAAATTCCCATGTGGTCTCCACGAGTGGCAGAGGCCAGGGAAGATGCAGGGACCGTATAGAGAGATCTGAAGGTGAAAAATGAGTATTTCAAACTGCACTATGCTGTGAGTGTGTAAACCCTAATGAGGAGACAGGAAAAAATTCACTTTGCTGCAGGTTAGAAATAGAAAGCTTTCCTTGCGAACAGGAATTAGTAAAAACGTTGACTACAAAAGCCGACAACAAAAGCAATAATATATTGTGTGGCAAAACTTTCCTCAAGAGGGCTGAGTCACCTAACTCCTGTTGGCTGAACCCTTTAAAAGCCTATCAAATTGCTCCTTGTGCTTCTGTTAGACTTGAGAACACATTCAATGGGGGGGAAAATCGGCTGAATGTTTTCTTCACTGTTTTTGCACAGACTTCTTTGACTTCATTGAAAAGGCTTGCTTTTAAAATTATTCCTTCACTGTCAACGTTATTCATACGAGATACCCATTTGTCAAACTGAAGCTAGGAAGGAGGAAAGTGGGAAGAAACAAGGTTGTCCAAGAAAACACTTTTTAAAAATGATGCTGTAGAAGTAGCACTTTGGTATTCCATGTTTTCTGTTTTCCTACTGAGAAGCTTACTAATACCCTGGTGGGCTTTTGTAACAAGGACAACACTATCAAATTATAGCCTCAGGAGTATATTCTCCTCACTCTTAATTGCAAAAATAACTGCCCTCTAATTAAATTCTGATGAGATCTGAGTTCTGAAAGACTGTAAGCAGAAACTTCTTGCTATGTAAACATCAGGTGAAGCTTAAAATTTGTGAAGAATTATTCCTTCAAATGTATATTGACTTTTACATCCAGTGAATTGGCTTTTAAAAATCAGTAGATTAGGAAAGCAATGAAACGTGGTAACTTTCCAGGTTTATAATCATAATTTCAAGTCAATTTCCTTTGAGAATCCTATAAATGTGTTATTTGTCAAAAATTGTACCTGTCCTACATTCAGTCTGAAAACTTCATTAACAATTACTTTTTTTATATTATCTCAAAATGTTCTCTGTCTGGGTGATATGTAAATACTTATTTAATGGTACAATAAAATTGAGTCAGCTTCAATTTTAGTGCACAGAAATTTTAGTGCAAAAATATTGACTCTTCAGTTTTTCATTGTAGGTTTTTGTAAAAGCCACCATAAATAATGTGGGATTGATGATTTAATTATGACTGGTCCTTTCAATGGCAGAAAATTGGTCAAACTAATTCTTTGGTAATCTATTAAAAAAAAAAAACCTTCCAAAATCTCTTCAGTATTTACCTGAACTTTTATCTCTTTAGATTTATGTTGGTGTCATGTAGATACAGCTCAGGTTCAATAAAGCCTTTTTAAAATTTTTGGCCAGATGAAAATGAAACTGCAGAGTTTCTAAAAAGTATGTATTAAGTTTTCAAAAATGTCAACAAATATTGCTTGTATGACTAATTTAATAAACTTATTTTATAGGAAATATGGTTCATTTCCTTGAATAGAATACATAAGGAAGCTATCCCAAGAGTGATTTGGGGAGGGTGAGGAATCACACCCAGCAGTGCTCTGGGATCACTCCTGGCAGTATTCGAGGGACCATATTTGGTGCTGTGGATTCAAACCAAGGGAAGCCACACGCAAGGCAAACACCCTTAACCCGTGTACTATCTCTCTAGGTCAAGAGTTTTTTTAATTATATTTTTGTAACTTTCCCCAGCTTCATCAGAACAACATCAGAAGCCTAGAAGAATGCTATCCTATTGCAGTTCCAATAAATGACGCATCAGGAAAACATAGTTGCAGATGGGTGTTAATCTCTCTGGTGATCTTGACAGTGTGTAAAAATCTCAGTCACTAAGGGCTAAGGTCAAAATCACAATATGCCATCAGTTCTATTTTCACGGACAGCCTGTTGGATCTGAGTTGAGACATCTCTGTGTACATTCCTATCTTAACATTCTGTGATTCTAAGTCAGAGGAAAAAAAATTGAAAGTGAAAAGGAAGTCTTTTCGTTAACTAGTCTCAGTGGCTACCTTTCCATTCCAGAATTTGAATACCATTTTCCAAAACAAAAAGTCAGATCTCTCTTGGTGGAGTAGCTTTCAGTAGTTTTCTGCAGCACACTTTTTCTTCCATACCCTCCCCAGCCTCCCGCAACATACTGGCTCCTGTTAAGTTTTGTTTACTTTAAAATCAATAGGAGCATTAAGTTAACGAAAGTTGTTCGAGAAGTACCTAAACCACTTATGTACTAGACTATATATCTAATATCTAAGGTGTACATCCTTCAAAACTAGAATGCAACTAGCAGAAAAATCTCAAGCAACTTTTCAAAATATTTTTTCCTGATGAGCTGGCATAAGAGGAAAAGTGTTTTAGATATCAGCCATACTTTTTGCTTGAATAACAGGAATGTATTATAGAATCTTGAACCTACATGACATGCAACACGGTAAAGCCTATTAGAGAAATTGGATAGGTGACCTTAAAATTTGCCCTTTGCAGAGTAGCTGTGATGTTATTCAGTTCTGACATTCTGTGGGCCAAATTCTAAGCAGAGATTTGGGCCCACAGAATATCAAAAGAGAGTAGGATTGCATTGGTACAAATGAGATATAAATAGACCAAGGTTGGCCAAGGAAACAAGGAAGTTTTCTTTGTTTGTTTCTAAGTCCCCTAGACTACCAGTCCATATAAGTTTCACCAACTGTCATTCTGCCATTGCTTATGTATGTTACATTAGGCAATTTTCACTTGAATTAGAAATCAGTTTAAGACTCAAAATCTAAACAGTTTTCAAATTGTTGGCTGTGTTACTGAATTAAGAGAATTGGCTTCTGGTGATTCCAAAGTGACATCTACGAAGTTTTGTATACTTGTTATATTTAGGGGCAGTCAACAACCTATCTCAAAGTCTATAACCACACATTTCCAAAAGGGTTTGATAGCCTATTCAAGGAAACCATTAAATACAATTAGCAGCACCAAGTCTCCAGACCAAAACAGAAATTTTATAGGAGTTACTGAAAATGCTGCTGTTTTCAGCCCAGAAGTCATTCCTTCTTCCTGGTACCTGTGTGTCTAATTGTCAAAGGAAGAAACAGATTATTGTAAAACAACAGTTCAGTTGCCTTAAAAGTATCTTCTACCTTTTAAAAAGATCCTGTTTAGTATACATTAGGTTAAAGCTCAAAGGGCAAAGAGGAGGGATTAATTAACAAACTCAATATAATTGGCTGGCAGCATGCCCGTCTTCCCCGTCCTTTGCACGGTGCCATACATCCATCCATCGTCGATGGGCTGCACATTGACAATGTAGTCGCCATCCCTGAAGGACACTTCATCTTCGTCCTGGGCACTGTAATCATACATGGCTCGGTAGGTCCGCTGCAGAAGGAAAAAGGCATTCTTCACATGTGGAAAATTCGAATGTTTGTTACAGCCACAAATGTCAAAACAGCAGACATATCCTGCACTGAAAGGAACTATGTGTAATGTTTCCACAGATCTTTAGTTCTGAAGATCTATAAAACAGAACCTTGAGTCGTCACTGTGTTCTGTTGGATTTACTACTCTAGAGAAAAGAGTCTTATTTGAGAACCAGGTCTAGGGTTGAGGGCTCAGTAACTGACCCCTAGCTTACCTACAGAAAGGAACCAAAGAAGCAGTAAAGTCAGTTTCTCCTGCTTCAAATCACCACAGAGACGCACCGATTTCCCCCTATTCTACATCTGTCCTTGAATTCTCTCATATCCCACATATTTTTTTAAAAAATCACCTTTTTAAATTATAGGCACTGTGATTTTCAATATTGATAATGGTAGGATTTCATGGATTCCAGCACCATACCTCCCCACATTCTTAAGAGACCAAAACCTGCCATGAGACAAACAACTCACTTCCCCTCTGGTGGAGGCAGTTGATTTTTCTTAAATGGATTCTAAGAACATTTGTTTTCTGAAAACCAAAAATCAAAAAAGGAAAAAAGATCCAGGATGGAGAGAGAGCACAAGAGGTAAGGTTCCTTTTGGGAGGCCAAACTCGTTTGGTCCCCAGCATATCATTCCCCAAACACCACCAGGGGTCAATCCTGAGCACAGTTAGAAGTAGTCCCTGAACACTGCCAGGCATGACCTTAAAAACAAAAATAGAAAAAACTATACTCATTTGATATTTTTTTTATCATAGTGATATATAATCTGCATTAAGTGTTTTGAATAAAATCCTGATTAGAAAAGGAGTTTTTTATTTGCGTTTCACTATACTTAGGAGCTACTCCAGGGAGAGTAGGTGACTGATCACCTTTTTCCTAGATGTGAGGCCACAAGTTTGATTCCTGCACACCTACATTTGCCACTTGTCAAATGTAGGTCAGGCAACACAGGCAACCTGGGATTCTGACACCACAACAAAGTGTCATTCACAGTGAATGAGAGTAAATGGATGTAGCATCTAAGTGTGCCACTCCAGTGAGTCCTACAACTAAGTGTGTTAACACCACAGCCAAGAACATGCCAACCTAGTGACGGCAGCAACAACAAAGGGAAGCAGGGGAACTTCAAAAAAACTATAAGGTTTTGCCACAATGAGATATCATTTCACACCACAGAGACTGGCCCACATCCACAAGAACAAAAGCAACCGGTGCTGGCATGGATGTGGTGAGAAAGGGACCCTCCTTCACTGCTGGTGGGAATGCCGGCTGGTCCAACCCTTTTGGAAAACAGTATGGACGACTCTCAAAAAATTAGAATTTGATCTGCCATTTGACCCAGCTATAGCACTCCTGGGAATATATCCCAGAGAGGCAAAAAGGTATAGTCGAAGTGACATCTGCAATTGTTTGTTCATTGCAGCACTCTTTACAATAGCCAGAATCTGGAAAAAACCTGAGTGCCCAAGAACAGATGACTGGTTAAAGAAACTTTGGTACATTTACACAATGGAGTACTATGTAGCTGTTAGAAAAGATGAAGTTATGAAATTTACATACAAGTGGTACTACATGGAAAGTATCATGTTAAGCGAAATGAGTCAGAAAGAGCGGGATAGACACAGAAAGATTGCATTCATCTGGGGAACATAAAGCAACAAAAAGGGAGAGTAACACCCAGGAATGGCTGAGATTAGTACCAGGAATTTTGCTCCATGAATGGAAGGCCAGCCACAGGCTCTAGGTGAAAAGGAAGCTCAGATAGAGAAGAGAGCATCAAATAAAGGGTGTTGTGAGGACCCTCCCAGGGTGGGAGAATCACGCTGAAAGTAGTCTATAGACCAAACATGATTGCCACTCAATGCCTCTCTTGCAAAACACAGTACCCAAAAGAAGAGAGAGAGAACAAGGGGGAATACCCTGCCACAGAGGCAGGATGGGACGGGGGGGGCAGGGGATGAGGGGGGGGGGTGCTGGGACCCGTGGGGATGGATGACGGGCACTGGTGGAGGAATGAGCACTTGATCATTGTATAACTGAAACCCAAGCACAAAATTTGTGGGCCTATAACTGTGCCTCATGGTTTTTCACTAATAAAAAAAGAAAAAAAAAACTATAAGGTTTTGTTTCCCTGAATTTGTTTTTCAAGCCAAAAATTTAGCTATCATTCATGCCAATTTCAAAATTAAGGGCATTCACAGACTAAGGAAAGTGACAGAGACACAGAGAACTTATAGGAATTCAAGATAATTTCCAAGTGGCTGAAAGGCCACCTACTTCCAAGTGTTCAGGCCTAGTCACATGACTGTGTGCAGAGTTTAGAGACGCAATTTCAGCCTGAAATGTCATACCTGTCCAGATGACCTTAAGCACAATTTCCCAAATTGATGCCAATGATGAATCAATACTACAAGAAAAGTCCAACAGCAGAATTCAGATTTGTTAGCAATGTCGGTCAGGTTTTACTGACCATTTTGATTAACACCAAAATAAACTAGTTTTAGACCAAATTTTGGGATTTTTAGACCTAAATTAGGATGTCGCACTGGCAGATTCTTGGTGTGTTTTACTGCTAAGACATTTTCATGTTGTGCCTTCCTTTTTCCGTGGTTTGCCTCTGCAAGAATTTCAATCCTTCAAAAAGGTTGTATCAATCATTTTTCTATGAACATGTGCATTGGTTCCAAGATAAACCTCCCAAATACAAAAACCTAAGCATATTCAACTCCCTTATAGAAAATGAGTGGTATTTGCATGTAATTTATATAATTTCTCCTACATACTTTAAATCATCTCTTAATTATAACACCTAATACAATATAAATGTTATACAAATAGTTATACTTTGTTGTTTAAGGAATGTTGATCAGAAAAACAGAACCTATATGTGTTCAGGATAGACACAACCACCATAAATGTAACTATGTAATACTATTCATTAATAGTCCATGTATTTTTATTTGCTCGAGCGGGCCCAGTAACGTCTCCATTGGAGGCTTTGTTGTTACTGTGTCTGGCATATGGAATACGTCACGGGGAGCTTGCCAGGCTCTGCCGTGCGGGCGAGATACTCTCGGTAGCTTGTTGGGCTCTCCGAGAGGGGCGGAGGAATCGAACTCGGGTCGGTCATGTTGGCTGTGTGCAAGGCAAACGCCTTACCCGCTGGATGTCCAGGGAAGAAGGAACACTTCAAATGAACACTTACTAGATTTGGTGAATGCTGCATTGACCTCATGGATGACAGGCTGGTCTGGTGCATGTACCCATAGCCTTGGGAATGGCTTTGCTGGTAGGCTCCAGGCAGAACAGGTGCTGCACATTAAAAACACATACATACATGTAAAGATTCCTTGATATGATTCTCAAAATGCCCCTCCTGTGCCCTCTGTTAGCATCATGCACTGCTACAACCTTTTGAAACAAAATGCCGTTTTCAGTGTCATTTGTAATTGGTGTAGTGCTATTATAAACAAGCTCTAGATTAACATCAATTTCAGTACTTAAGGACACCTAGGGCATCAATTCAGCATGCAGTTACACTCTATTAGACATATATTCATATTACTCTGTTGTAAATGCTATGTTAAAGCAACACAAATAGAAAACAAAAATTCCCCATAATTCCTTAATAAAATCATGATTTTACTTGGTCAAGTTATCCCCTTAAGTTACTTTCAAAAACAAAAGTAATAAATACAAATAAAATTAATTTGATTATCAAACCAATGTCCAGGACAGAGTATACATGTTTTCACCAGATGCTTCTCATAGAATAGGATGCTCCCAATATTTCACCTTATAATTGCAGAAGGCTACTTTTATAAAGATAGGAAAATTGTATATGTTTAGCAGTTAATAATAAACTTTTCAAAAACATTATTTAGAATATATCATTCTCCATTTTATTGTGGCTGTAACGGAAGACTAAATAAATCACAAAAATAGGTTACAAATGGTTGAGAAGCTTAACCACTTCAGAAATTTCACAAGCATTGCCTTCTTTATCAAAAGCAGTATCACAATAATATTAACTAAGTTTGTTGTGTTCTCATCACTATAATGACATTCAAAATACATCATTGCTATTTTGAAGAATGCATTCCAGAGAAAGTAATACAGAAGCTAGATTAAAAACATCTTAGAAGGGCCAGAGAAAGAGTACAGGGGAAGGTGATTGCCTTGCAGACAATCCCTAGTTTGACCCTTGTTACCACATTTGGTTCACAAACCCCACCAAGAGTGATACTTGAGCAGAAAGTCAGGAGTAAATCTTGTCCATTGCCAGGTATGCCCCCAAAACAAAAACATGCATGCCTCTCAAAGAATCTCCATAAAATCAGAGGTAAGGGTTATGGCTTGGTGATAAAACCTATGCCTTAAGTGAATGAGAACTGAGTTTAATTCCCAGTTCCACAATCAGTAGATTACTTTCCTGTGTGTCTTTGTAAATACGTTTAAATATTTTAAATCAGAATCCTAGGATGTTCTGATTAAATGAAAGTATTTCAGTAATATACCCTGAATTTCCTGCCCCTCAGCCTGGGGAGCGGGTTGAGCTTCCCTCCCTGCCCCAAGCAGAACCCTGGCAGCCGAAACCCTCCAGAACCCAGCCACATCCATGCTCAAGGCCGCTCTCCACAAGCTCGGACAAGCCTCACACATGAAGGAACCAGCAGAGGAACCCAGGTATGAAGAACCCGGGGCTGAGATCTCCAAGTCTGTTCAGATTGGGACTGGGCCTCCTCCCCTCAGATCCCTCATTTTCCAGTAGCTTGGCAGTCACACCCACAAACTGCCTCCAGCGCCATGTAATCCCATCAATGGCCAAGATCCATAGACTATAAAACAAAGCTCCCGGAAGCACTTGGCCACATTCTTGGCCATCGACCTCTTACAGTCTAGCCCACTGACATACCTAAAGCAGCACATATGTGTTTGCTTTTAACATACTTGCTTGTATTCTCTTATATACATTCTCCTTCACTCTCTGAGAACCCGGCAAGCTACCGAAAGTATCCTGCCCACGGCAGAGCCTGGCAAGCTCCCTGTGGTGTATTTGATATGCCAAAAACAGTAACAATAACGGGTCTCATTCCCCTGACCTGAAAGAGCCTCCAATACAGCACCATTGGGAAGGATGAGAGGCTGCTAAAATCTCAAGGCTGGGACAAAAGGAGATGTTACAGGTGCCCACTCAAGCAAAATGATGAACAACGGGATGACAGTGTTACAGTGATGGCCTTCTATATGTTTTTAACAGTTACATAATACACTAATAAAACTATACTATATATTGGGCTATATATTCCATAAAAGGTTGCAATTTTTTGTTCTGTCAGGTTGAGCTTGAGCATATAAAGTGAATTTTATGGTCTGAGTTATTCAGGAGAGATTTTATAATAAAGAAGATATAATTATTGGGTTTTATGAATAATTAATACTATGTGGGAAACTCATTCTAATGATATATAAGAACACCAAGATTTAAGGAAGTTTAATCATCTGAAAATTACAAATCATTAATGCTTTCTCAGAAGGTAATGATATTAACTTTGACAAGAATTTCTTAATAGATCCTGAACTAACTTACAGTGTAATGTTATTACAAATTATGTGTATTTAATAACTAGGTGTGGCATTAAAGAGATTACCAAGATATTTATTTGATTGTAGAATATTCTAAATTTAACCAAATATTTCATGTTGAATCCTTCAAAAATGGCACTTTTAAATGTTGTCAACTCAATTAAAATAATTAGTATCAAGAATACTGTCATAATTCCCCTTCAAGGGAAAATGATGAAGAAATCCATAAAACTCTCTAGGTCCACTTAATTAGCTGAACAAAACAGTCTTTCTCTGTGGGCTGAAAGCTGGAAGCAATGGCCTTTCATTCATGCATTCCCTCAACTCAGCAAATACTTAATAAGAAAGTTAAAATGTGCACAGGCTTACTCTGTTGCCTGCCACTCAGCAAGTTTTCCATAAGTGTTAACAAAAATCACAGTCCACAATGTCCAAGGCAGCTCAGATTTAAGAAGAAGGACAAAGATAATTGCCTTCCTAGCACAGAGTTGGCCCTGATCCTTCACCCACTTAAGGAAGAGGCGGATACTGTACATATAGGTCACTCCCAGTTAAGTTAGTAAGTCAAGGAGTTGAAGGTCATCCCCCAGAATGGCAGTCCTGAACTGGTTTTAATTTATATAAACAAGTCATCTCTTCACTCATTAAAACCACTAATGTTTTGTAAATTCTAAAGATGAAACAGCCCTGCAAACTTACTTTAAACAAGCACTAAACATTGAATCCTTTGTTACATTATTTAGCTTTAACCTTTACTTTTTCAGATAGAGTGTAGTCTTCAAATATTTGGGAAAAGAAACCACAAGGAAAGGACAACTGTGAAAAAGTTGAAACCTGGTTCTCCCAGCTGTAGCAATATATTTGTGCTTACTTAGTTTGTACACCATAATCCCATATTAGAGCCTACAATTATTGATACCTCAAGAGCAATGTTTAACAGTGTTTGCTGAGATTTTAAAAATCAAGGACATGTAGGTATATTAATTGCTCAGTTCAAAGGGAAACTATACTTACTGTCAAGTATAGCAGGAAAACAAAAGAATTATTTGTCCAAAATTGTGAGTGGAGAAAAAAGGGGAGATAGTTTATCATGAGAAATTGGCACAGATATAATCTAGCTAGTCTTGGTGGTTTCCTCACTAAGTATTTATTGATTCATTCTATAAATGCAAGTTCTTTAGGGGTTATCCAACTTCCCTGTCTATTTTATTTATACCTAACACAGTAACAGAGAGCTTAGGAAACTCGTATTAGGACAACAAAACAGATCTGCATTCCCAGAGGAAAATTAATGAAGGCAAATGCCAATTTAAAAAGGGAGACAAGCATTGTTTTTTCCAGTGATTTGCTAACTGGATTTCTTTTTGAATGGATGAAACACCCAAGAGGAAATGTAAAGCATTAGAAACTGTGTTTATTAATATTTTGGATGAAAGATCTTCCATCTGAGTATGAGATATTGTCCCTGAAAATACGGAACTCGTAGGGTTTTCCAAAAGCAAATTTTCAGGTTAATTTTTCACAAGTTAATTAGCAGTAAATAAGTAAATTAGCTGGAGAACTGGTCCTCAATAGGATGACTGCAATGGGAGGAGAGCAGAAGGGGGATTAGGTCAGAGAAGGGAAGTCTATTAAGGATGAAGGGAAGCAGTCATTCTGCATGAGGATTGAGTGCTGAAAGGAGTGATCTGCATGATGCCCTCTCAGTAACATTATTGCAAACTACGGTGCCTAAAAGGGGGAGGAGTAGAAAGGAAAAAATAAAAATAAAACAAAGAGTGCCTGCATTGCATCAAACTGGAAGGCGGGAAGGAAACTGTGAACAATGGTGGAAGGAAGTGGACACTGGTGAAGGTCCACACGATTGGTGTATCATGCCTGAAACTCAATCATGAATAGCGTTGTAACCTGGTAATTCATAGTGATTCAATTAAAAACTAGATTTATTTAAAAAAAACTGGAACTTCTTAAGAAAGAGAAAAAAAAAACTCTTGCTTAAACTCATGGTCAGAGCCAGGAGTGCTAGTATACAGAATGACTAGAAAGGTTCTGGCTTATCTAGCCCAAGATTTGTAGAGCTGAGGATTTTCCATTTCAATAACATAAAACATTTGAATTTATTCCTTAGCAAGGCAACAACAAAACACCAACAAGTGACTCAATTTTTCATTTCAGATTGGTTAGATTTAATATAAACATAGGGGGTAGGATAACAAAGAACTTTTGTTTAAGCAAAAACATATATATTGATCAGAAAATTTGGAGGATGAACTAAAACTTTTATCAGTTAATTCCTGTCAAAGCCTTTAATGAGGGTTTGTGTTTTCTTAGGACAAAGGTTCTCTATCTAGATAGTCCAAAAGAACTGCCAAACTGAATGAAAACATGAATGAAAAGACAAAATATGAAGATGTCGCTAGTTTTAAACATTAAATAATGAGCTCAATCCAAACTAGATCTAGATTAGGAGGAAGGAGCCTGAGCTCCTTGTAAATAAAATCGGCCTATGATGTGGACATGACATCAAGAATTCCATTTAGAGCTTTAAGTGCTCATGGAATTTGATTCTCTCCACAAGTCACAGTGGATGTTAAATCTCATTTATGTGATATCAATGCCGAATCCAGCAACAAGATGTTACTTTTTAAAAGTTGAACATATTCCTACTATTATAAAATATTACTTTCCTTGCAGAAAACAGACACAACCTGGGTTGCTCTAGCTTC